GTACTCGAGACTATCCGGATATCCTTTATTGGACCCGGACCCTACCCGCGGGTCCAAAACTTGGACCCATATCGGGTATACTTGGCAGGTATGGGTCCATTGCCACCCCTAGTAGCAAGCCAATTTAAAACATAATGGGAGGGATAATTTCATGTTCATCCCTTATTGTTTTATCGAATATTTCAAAATTCGGATCCATAGAGGAGATCATTCACTCACATAACTCGGTCGGATTGTTGGATCAACAAACTAGATCGGGTCTGGATCACTCTGAATCACTAATCCAGCAAATATAAAAATTAATAAAATAAAACTTAAAATAGAGGCATATGGGGTTCAAAGGGGATATAAAAAATATTAAATAAGCTTAACAAAAAAGAGAAAAATATATAAAGGATTTTTAGGAAAATCTGATTCGGGATCCATACGATCCCTAAATCAGTTCGGTCTTGACCAATTCCAATATAGATCAATAATTTGAATTAAAAAATCTCCAGATTTAGGGCACAATTGTTTCAGGTGAAAATATTTCTTGAGAAATATTTTCAATATTTTTTGAGAAATATTTTTATGTAAAAAAATTCTTTCATATAATTAGGTGTGAAAATATTATCAAACTAATCAGGTGAAAATATTTCTTGAGAAATATTTTCAATTTTTTTTAAGAAATATTTTTATGTAAAAAATTAGATTCATATAATTAAATGTGAAAATATTTTCAGATTAATTGGTATTAGTGTATCTTTCCATACAAAATATTCTCACAATTAAAACCACGAGGAAATTTTTTCATATACGTGCCCATAGAGCACTTTTTTTTATGGTTTTACCCAGTTGTTTAAAAAACGGATAGGTGATTCGGATTGGGCACCCAAAAAACAGATCCGGATTGACGATTCGGATCGAAAATCGAGTGAATCGGTCAGAATAAAGCTTAAAAAAAATCTGAAAAAATTATTAAAATTCATTATAAATATTGTTTTTTAGGAATTCAATAAGAAATGAGGGTACTCCATTTAGAATTTTCATGTTTTTGAATGAATATGCGAATATTGATATGTTCTTTCCCTGCATGAACCGCCATTCAGCATTTAATTTACATCACACAAAAGAATAAACATAGAATTATCATGGAATAAGTATATCAACATATATGGACTACAATAAAGCATAAAATTAGAAACATATGATCTAAAAATAAAATGATAGACGACGTTATTGTTATTCTTGGTCACGCTGGTGCCATTGATTGAATTCGTTTAACAATTCATTGATTCGATCTAAAAACGAATCATCGATATTAGCAGGCGTTTGACTATTCCCAAATCCCTGAGTGTTAGTGTTTTGTTGTGTTCCCAATCTAAAATCCCTGAAGCTTGTCCATCCTTCATGCTCACCTGCACTGTTGTGCTCATCCCTACACTGTTGCTGTTGGGACTCGATATGTGAATAATATGGCTGGGATAGGGTGGCCTCAGAATCTTCATCTCTCTCATTTTCTCTTTGAATAATATGGATTAAAAAAAAAATTAAA